GACCATGCGGTGCTTCACCCACTTGAGCACCCATCGGTGTGAAACCAAAATCACTGTTGAATTTTTCAAATGTTCTCGTTGAAGTTACCCGAAATCCATTGCTTCAAAGTATTTAATTAATCATGACCCAGTTAACTCTTACATGCAAAAAAGCCTGCATTGGCATTTTTCAATTATCCGTACATGCACTATCCCTAGTTTCATCTTTGCTAAATTTTTAGCTTGACAATCGTCGCCTAGAATATCGACGCTCCAAATTATACCAGGTTATATTGCTACGCATGGGTGTTTCCTGAATCATGTGGACGATGACCTTATGGGCCTTTCCACATCAGAGGCTAAGCGCATTTAAAAATGGCTCGTAACAGCAATAGGCCTGCAAGTCATAGGCTTAGTGCGTCTCGTGGTTCGCCCTTGCATCTGAGAAGCATACATAACAACTAACCAGAAGAAAGATATCTCATCGACAAGGAAACGGTTTCCGTGACAAAAAAAGAAACTAAGTCTGGATTAATGAATAGTGTTTTTTGGGTGATCAGATCAATGTCTCATGGACTTAATCGAGAACGCGCACCGGGTTTCAACTGTATATTGCTACGCATGGGTGTTTCCTGAATCATTTGGACGATGACCTTATGGGCCTTTCCACATCAGAGGCTAAGCGCATTTAAAAATGGCTCGTAACAGCAATAGGCCTGCAAGTCATAGGCTTAGTGCGTCTCGTGGTTCGCCCTTGCATCTGAAAAGCATACATAACAACTAACCAGAAGAAAGATATCTCATCGACAAGGAAACGGTTTCCGTGACAAAAAGAGAAACTAAGTCTGGATTAATGAATAGTGTTTTTTGGGTGATCAGATCAATGTCTCATGGACTTAATCGAGAACGCGCACCAGGTTTCAACTGTATTGAGTTTGGCTTCGCCAAAATGGGCGCGGATGTAACTGCATGTTAAATTTAAGTGATTTTTCTTTCATTTAATCTCAGTGAAGATACATAAAGCTGTTGCACACTTTCCTTGGCTATATCTTCTCTTAAGGCCTATCCATGTTAATGAATTAAAAAAAACTGGCGTCGTCCCCAGTCACTAAAATACCTATTGTTGGAAAAGTCTGCAATGAATACTTCATTTTAGAATATGGATATATCACTAAGATAAGTGACCTCACATGGAAACCAAACTCGCAGATCTCCGGTGGCTCCAAGGACCTTAGTACAACTTCAAAGATAAAAAAAATTTTAACCTGTCCATATACTGGTGCCTTTACCCTATATTGGAATGCGTTCAGGCTGTTCACGGTGAAGCCTTTCACCTACACAACCGTAGCCCTCCAATAGGCAGGCTGGGTAACCTATAGATCTAGGCCTTTCCATATCATAGGCTTGGCAGCATATTAGCCTAAGAGCCTTCGCCTTGCCGGGTCATAGGTTGGGTGGGATGGTGTAACCTTTACTTCCAATGTAATCAGACACCATGAAGTTTTTCTTTCGGCAGGTCACTGCGCCATATTCATCCTACTTATTTATGGTTTTGTAGTGCTAGGGCCAGGATGGCACTTTGTCTAGCACCGTGGGTTAAAATGAAAGGCCAGTTGGGAGCTCCATAATTAATCTATTGCTTGACATTTGAAAACTAATAAAATATATGAAAATAAATAAAATAAATAAATAAATAAATAAGTGAAAGACAAAGAACAATGACTCAGGCAATGGTTCAGCAAAAGTGTAAAAGTTTAGCAGGCGCTAGGCCATGTAAAAACACTGGATAAACAGACCAGACTTGAGGAAAACCAGCAAGGGAATGTGCAGACCAGCAAGGCTCAGCAGACCAAAAACGAATGTGCAGACCAGCAAGACTCGGCAGACTCAGCACACGACGAAAGAAGCGCCAACCGGAAGACGGGCTCCCCCTGACACACCCCCAGCTCTGGCTGCTCTCTCATATATATGTTCAAGTGTCATGTGAGGTAGAGGAGAACCATCACTTGGAGCAGTTAAGAGTGTTCAACCACGTCCATGCTTGATAAAAACCACTCCTCCAGTAAAAACAAGCACAGCACAAAACTTGTCCTCAAAGCCTCTGACTCGCTGGTCTAGTCCCTTTCAGCAACACTGGATGCTGGTCGTGTCGTCTGCTCCTTAGACACGACACTACATACGCCCCTTCCATTCACAAGCTTTTGTCCTCAAAAGCATAATACACATTTCCCACAAGTGAAGAAAACTTGTATTATCACAATATTGAGTGCCATTGAAATTCTCAAAATAAATAAAAATGGAAATGAACAAATAAAAAAAAACATTTCCCAAGAACCAAAAAGCAGATAGCCACTTTGGCACACACAAAAAAAAAAATGGCCGCTTTGGCCCAAAATGAGTAATAGCCACTTGGGCAAAAATAATCAACAGCTACATTGGCACAAAAGAACAAATGGTTGCTTTGACATAAATGGGCAATGGCCGCTTTGGCAAAAATGAGCAATAGCCACATGGGCACAAATGAGCAATAGCCACTTGGGCACAAACAAAATCAAGAGCCCACTTGGGGAGAAAAAAAAAAGCAAGTAGCCGCTTGGGCACGAAAGTAGCATCCAATATAGCATATCAAGTGAGCTTGCATCCAGATCATTTGTTTATACCATCATAATAATAAAAAATGGAATGCTTCAAGGAGAGAAAAAATAAATAAAATTCCAACAGGACATCCAGGCATCAAAAACAAATATATGATGCACTAGAACAAGCATTCCCTTACATTCAAAACAGATCATGGCCTAGAGACAGACCTTATCATCCAAAGAAATCCAGGGTGTAGCCACTTGGGCATGAACCAGAAGAAAAAAAATTTTTGAGGGGTGTAGCCGCTTGGGCACGAACCAAAAATCCACAAGAAAAAAAAAATTGAGGGGTTTAGCCGCTTGGGCACGAAATGAGCTGTAGCCAAATACATCCATCAAACAAGCTAAGTTAGTTGACAAAGCCATCCTAGTATATATCCAAGAATAACGGAGCCTAATTAATCAGAAATTCAATGCAATGGAGAAAGTGATACAATTTGGCTAAATTACAAGGTTACCCAAAAAAAAGGAAATTACTGTTGGAGAAACTTCATGAGGTTACCAAAAATTTACAAGGTTGCCAAGAAAATTATAAATTTCAAAGAAGATCCGGAGGTGATTGGGCATTGCCTTTCCAGGAGGTTCCTAGTCCTCTGCAAAATGTGTGTGTAAGTTTTAAGGCGTTCCGGTTGCAAATGAACCCCATCAAGAAGAAAACGGCGGTCAGGGGCCACGCGTCGGTATGCATTCTGTTCAAAGAAGATAACTTGATCTCCGAACCTTAATTGGCATCGGGACANGGACCGATTAATGTATGCGAACCCAGAACGGCATTAAGAACTAGTCCGGGTACATCTTGTGCGTATGAAGTTTTCTTACACTTAAAGGACCCGCCAGATTGTAGAAAAGAAGTTCTAGACCGTCAACACCCTTATTTTGTCCGAGTCAGTGACAAAGGTACCTGGGCTTATTCTGTGGCTCAACAAATGACCCTAGTAGTAACATGTCCACGAACGGACCAGAAGAAAGTGTTCAATAATGTCACTAATCATTCTTTAAATTTCTCTGGTCTGATAACTTTGCCAGCCACATGCAGTGCGCATGCGGCTGGATTGATATTGCCTTCCAGCTACACGGGACATTCGAAAGGAATTCAAGTAATTCATCATATCCTTCAGATACCTGATGTTAAGAGCCTGCTAAATGCCTCGATCATAAATTTGTTGAAAAAAGTGGTGAATGATGAGAAATACAAGGAAATGAGAATGAAAATCGAAAGTATAAGGGGAAGTAGCCTCATTCCAATGGGACTTCCTCTTCAGGAAATTAAGAAAGAAATTCCGGAACTCGATAAACAAGGTATGCCAAGTATTGCCTGGTTCGAAACGAGAACCATCCCCACACCCACGATCACAACTTTGGCTATTCTTGGGCTTATGGGCGGAATAGGGTGGATTGTTTGCCGCTCATGCGCTAGATTATCGGTGATTAGACACCAAACCAATGAGGGGTTCTTCTCTGGGCCAAGGTTTGGATTTTTCAAACCGGCTCAAAGACGGCACCCATCACCACCTGTCCAGGAATTAGGGACTATAGAGGCGGTGCAAGAGAATGAACCACTGCATGAATATGGAAGTTTTCATTGAAAAGATTCGTCATGTAAGGTTGTTCAAAGAATGCCATGGAGATGTTTTGTACTAACCCATTTTGAATTACTGTCTAAAAATGTGGAGCAACACTCTGGGCCAGGCAAGAAATTGTGAAAGAGAGAGAGAGGTGCCAATGAACCCGTGAGTGTGCTATGAGGCAATACGGCTTCGTCGTCCACTTTGCTCCAGGAGAGGAAAAGAGACTCCCCCGCACAAACTTTGTCGGAGTAGGTTCTTTGGAAGAAGCCTACCCCGAGCAGTCGGTGCCGAGTGATGTAACGGGCCGACGCCCTTCCAGACATGTCGTCTAGGGAAAGGAAAATGAGGCATGCTGATTGAGGAGACGGACAGGAGTCAGGGTGATAAGCTGAGGAGACAAGGGGAAAACGTATGAGGGGACATTATCTCAGGGATGCCGGATCGGGATCACCATCCCCGCCCTTCCAGAGGTGACCTCCAGTCAGGATCAGGAGGACAATATCTTCGGACATCCCTGTCCAGAAAATCCATGTCGCAACCAATGGTTTATGAGAAAACCTCATTTCCAAAACCATCGGTTGGACAGGTACATGCTCGGAGATACGGACCAAGAAATTAATGAAGATGATTTTGTCGTCGAGTGCGTTTCCCAATAAGATCTGTTCCTGGGGATTGAACAACCAATGGGCGCACGCTTCCAGCCAAGAATCCCTCCTCCAGGAACCTCCTCAGCCACCCTGAAGAAAAAGGAAGAAACTTCGTCCGAGAAGACCAGTCCCAAGAGAAGCGAGGGGACTCGGCCCTGCCCTTGATAGTGGAGTTCTTCCCTCCTCAGTCCGACTAGAGTGTTAGTGCCCTAGTTCGACCCGTAAGAGCAGGTCTCCCGATAGAGTCGAAAACTTTTTCTCTCTTACGCGCGTTTGCCCAGGAACCGGGTAGCTCCTTATTTGTTTGTGAATCTCATAAACTAACACATTTTTTTCTTCTATATACTTTTGCTGAACAACCAGGTAACCTTTACACACTTATGTAATAAATTAATTATCAGACTCGGTTGTGGGATATTTCTTTCTCGGCCGTGAACAGGCACGAACCTTTCCTCCCGAAGGAAGGAAGAGTTTCTGAAAGGATAGTTGTCAGGCGCGGGACGCTAGGGAGCGAATTTGATCAAATATTTGTTGTCTGTACTTAACAACCTGCCGCAGCGCCCCGTGCCCGTGACACAATGCTAAGGACAGCAGTTTGGCTTCTTGACCAGTAAGGGAAGCATCACTATTATTGATATTCAATGATTTTGCATGGATGCAGATGCACAGGCAGCTTGAATCCCTGATTAAAGTTTTTAACTTGCTGGCTTTCATTTTCAAGCTTTAAACCCTATTTTCTTCGACACGTAGAGGTGAGAATTCTTGCTCCCATTAATTTCTTATTCCCCTAAAATAAATTTTCATATACATAGTATAGGTTCTGAAGTTCGTATCAGATGCAAATATATGAGGATTTTAAAAATATTAGGTTGGAAAGAAAGTCTTGCAACACTTTCTAAAACTATTAATAACAATTTTCGAGGGAATAATGGGCGGGGCTTTGAATTTGTATATGCTGGTTTGTCCCCTCGACTTACAGTGCCATTTAGGCCTTTAAGGATGAGAACATGGGCTTTGAATTTAGGACGTGTAACGATAAGGCAATCGCAGGCCTATTCATACCTTCACGAACCATTTCTGAGAGGACATGTAACGTTAGACCGAAACGGCGGTCAGGGGCCACGCGTCGGTATGCATTCTGTTCAAAGAAGATAACTTGTTCTCTGAACCTTAATTGGCATCGGGACATAAGAACAGAAGAATACGTGCGACGGCGTGACTCAAAGTCGGCAACTGCCCTCCTTCTCCTATCAGGGTTGGGAGACTCACCCCTAGGGTAAGGTTTAATGACAACAATTTTTTGGGCCCCAGCAAGAAAGAGAAAAGACAGAAGCTCCAGCTGCCACTCAACATAAAATCCCGGCTCCTCAGTGAGATCCCTATTATCCAATTCGTTCTCTCCGCAGTGCACAGTGACATGCGGAGGAACACGGGGTGGGCTACCAGCAAAGATGTCTCGCTGCAAATGGTCCAAGAGAGACTTGGCCATTGCTCCTGGAAGCCCAACAAATCTGGTCCCAGCGGATGCTTGCAGGCGAGGAAATCTGTCAGGTTGGGCGACAGCTATAGCCATAGCCCTCTCAATGAATGAATGTCCGACCGCAAGAAAGGAGATCGGCGTCAGATAGGCTTCAGGGTTGACAGGGATGGAAGAGCCGGATGGTCGAAACATATTCTTTGGCCGCAAACGGCTCTCCTCATGAGATATGCCGATGGAAAAACGCTTCCCTCCCCTCCACATGTTCTAATTAAAACAGAAATATCAGCAGAAAATACTAAGAAGAATCACAGACTAAGCTGAGCAATGAAGAAACAAATATAATCAAGCTCCAAAGTGAGGTATCCCAAATAGACGACTCAGATCAAAGTATATCCAGAGCAAAAGAAAAATCCACCAACAATATAAACCAACAGGCCATAGCTGCTTGAGCGTGGGAACAGCAAGATCCAATGAAATGCAACATAATTTAACTGGGTACAGCCGCTTGGACACGAGCACCAATGTTACCAATAAGATACAGGATTCCCATAACGCTCAGGAGGGCGTCCGATTCGCTGTGGCCGCTGCAAGGCTGTTCGAGAATTTGAAAGTTCATCACCATTGTCTCCTGAATCATTATTAAAATCATTGGAAACCATGCAAAGTACAGGTGAATCTTTTAAAGAGACTAGATCCTCCGTGCCTTCATCAGAATCGGATGAAGAACACTCTGAAATTTCAAGACGATGTGGTCGGGGAACAAACCTTTTTACACGGTTGTATGGAAAAACCTTAGTGGCACGAGTAGCCAGATTCTCAACTTTAAGAGTCTGAGGCCTTGTAATAACTAATAAGTAAATACTAATAACTCGATAAGGGACAGACTCATACTTTCCACATAATTTTATTGACTTTCCTTTGGGAGCCTTTCCCAGTACAACCCAAACCAAATCTCCTACCTCCCAGGCAGACATGAATTTTTGTCTAGCATCATAATAAATCTTCTGCTTTTCTTGAGCATTTCTGAGATTGCCAAACACTCTCTGCCTCATCTCATGTAGAGGCCAACTCACCCGCAAAAGGTTGTCTAAAGCTTTCTTCTGCTTTTCTTGAGCATTTCTGAGATTGCCAAGCACTCTCTGCCTCATCTCATGTAGAGTAGAGGCCAACTCACCCGCAAAAGGTTGTCTAAAGCTTGGAAGGGCATCAAATTCAATAGGAGTCCTTGGCTCAATGCCGAACAGGACCTCATAAGGACTTTCCCCTAAAGACTGTTGAACTGAAGTCCTATAAGCAAAAAGAAGNTCAAGAAGAAAACGGCGGTCAGGGGCCACGCGTCTGTATGCATTCTGTTCAAAGAAGATGACTTGATCTCCGAACCGTAATTGGCATCGGGACACAAGGACAGAAGAATATGTGCGACGGCGTGACTCAAAGTCGGCAACTGCCCTCCTTCTCCTATCAGGGTTGGAGACTCACCCCTAGGGTACGGTTTAATGACAACAATTTTTTGGGCCCCGGCAAGAAAAAGAAAAGACAAAAGCTCCAACTGCCACTCAACGTAGAATCCCGGCTCCTCAGTGAGATCCCTATGATCAAGTTCGTTCTCTCCGCAATGCACAGTGACATGCGGAGGAACACGGGGTCGGCTGCCAGCAAAGATGTCTCGCTGCAAATGGTCCAAGAGGGACTTGGCTGTTGCTCTTGGGAGCCCAACAAATCGGGTCCCAGCGGATGCTTGCAGGCGAGGAAATCGGTCAGGTTGGGCAACAGCTACAGCCATAGCCCTCTCAATAAAGGAATGTCCGACCGCAAGAAATGAGATCGGCGTCAGATAGGCTTCAGGGTTGACAGGGATGGACGATCCAGATGGTCGAAACATCTTCTTCGGCCGCAAACGGCTCTCCTCATGAGATATGCCGATGGAAGAACGCTTCCCTCCCCTCCACATGTTCTAATTAAAACAGAAATATCAGCATAAAATATTAAGAAGCATCACAGACTAGGCTGAGCAATGGAATACTTGAAGAAACAAATATAATCAATGAGGTATCCTAAATAGACGACTCAGATCAAAGTATATCCAGAGCCAAAAAAAAAAAAATCTACCATGATATGAGCCAACAGGCCATAGCTGCTTGAGCATGGGCACAACAAGATCCAATAAAATCTAACAGTGTGCAACAGAATTTAACTGGGTGCAGCCGCTTGGGCACGAGCACCAAAGTTACCAATAAGATACAGGATTGCCATAACGCTCAGGAGGGCGTCTGATTCGCTGTGGCCGCTGCAAGGCCGTTTGAGAATTTGAAAGTTCATCACCATTGTCTCCTGAATCATTGGAAACCATGCAAGGTACAGGTGAATCTTGTGAAGAGACCAGATCCTCCGTGCCTTCATCAGAATCGGATGAAGTACACTCTGAAACTTCAAGATGATGTGGTCGGGGAACAAACCTCTTTACCCGGTTGTATGGAACAACCTTGGTGGCACGAGTAGCCAGATTCTCAACTTTAAGAGTCTGAGGCCTTACACTAACAACTCGATAAGGGACAGACTCATACTTTCCGCATAATTTTATTGACTTTCCTTTGGGAGCCTTTCCCAGTGCAACCCAAACCAAATCTCCTACCTCCCAGGCAGACATGAATTTTTGTCTAGCATCATAATGAATCTTCTGCTTTTCTTGAGCATTTCTGAGATTGCCAAGCACTCTCTGCCTCATCTCATGTAGAGTAGAGGCCAACTCACCCGCAAAAGGTTGTCTAAAGCTTGGAAGGGCATCAAATTCAATAGGAGTCCTTGGCTCAATGCCGAACAGGACCTCATAAGGACTTTCCCCTAAAGACCGTTGAACTGAAGTCCTATAAGCAAAAAGAAGGGTGGGCAGCCAAATGTCCCACTTCTCTGGACAGTCCACAACATATGATCGCAGTATAGAAAGCAGTGTACGGTTAAACCGTTCCACCAATCCATCACTTTGAGGATGGTACACTGCTGTGGCTGTCTTTCTAACTCCTAACAACCTACAAATCTCTGCCATCAAGGTCCCTTCAAATGATCGACCCTGATCAGTATTAAATTGTTCTGGCAACCCAAACCTCATAAAGACTTCTTCTACCAGCTTTTTAGCAATTGTTTCTGCCTTTTCATCTGGCAGGGGAAAAGCCTCAACCCACCTGGTAAAGTAATCGGACACAACTAGAATTACATTAATGCCTAGAGGAGTTTCTGGGAGTCCTGACAGAATATCAGCAGCCATCATTTGAAATGGTCTCTCTGGATGTTGTATTGGATGTAATGGAGCAGATGGAATTGGTGAAGCCCGTTGTCTTAGTTGGCATTCAGTACATGATCGAATCCAATCTGCAATGTCAGTATTAATCCCAACCCAATAAGCACAACTCCTCAGTCTCTCACGTGTCTTTTTGACTCCAAGATGTCCAGCTGTTGGATGGTTGTAAAAGCTACTCAGAATGGTTGGGACCTTTGACCTAGGTACCAGAATTTCTAATTCTTCTGAGGTGACTCTGTACAGAAGACCGGACTTAAACACAAGATGTCCCATTTTCAACAGAGATAAATAGGATTTCAAAAGATCATCTTCAACAGAAGTCTCCTCAGGAAGATGTAGTGTCGTGTCTGAGGAGCAGACGACACGACCAGCATCCAGTGTTGCTGAAAGGGAATAGACCAGCTAGTCAGAGGCTTTGAGGACAAGTTTTGTGCTGTGCCTGCTTTTCAGTGGAGGAGTGGTATTTATCAAGCATGGACGTGGATGAACACTCTAACTGCTCCAAGTGGGGGTTCTCCTCTACCCCACATGACACCTGAACATTGATACGAGAGAGCAGCAGAGCTGGGGGTGTGTCAGCGGATCCCGTCTTCCGGTGCTGGCGCTTGTTTCGTCGTGGTGCTTGGTCTGCCGAGTCTTGCTGGTCCACACATTCCCTTGTTGGTTTTCCCAAGTCTGGCTGGTCTGTTCATTCAGTGTTTTTTCATGGCCTAGCGCCTGCCAAACGTTTGCTCGCTGGTTACATTCCAGCCTATGGCCTGAGCCTACTATTCATTGCCTTTCGCTTATTTATCTATTTATTTATTTATTTATTATATTTATTTTATTTATTTTCATGTTTTATTAGTTGTTTTTTTTTATTATGTCAAGCCAATAGAGTAATTATGGAGCTCCTCACTGGCCTTTCATTTTAACCCATAGTGCTAGGCAAAGTGCCATCCTGGCCCTAGCACTACATATTGAAAGTCTTGTTCAAGGACTCGCTCCCAAAAATTATGCAGCATTCTAGTGCCGAAATCATACAAGTAATCCTTCTGCTCTAGCCTTTCTTGCTTGGTCAGCTTCATCTCATTTTTGGCACCTAAATGCCTTTCTTAAAAGTATATTTCCATATATGCAAATCGTTTGAATCCTACCTAGACTTTATTCTAGATACATGGCCCCAACAGGCCGTTATGTGTTAGCAAATTTAAATAAAGACCTTTCAGGAGAGGGGTTTTTGGGGCCAATGAGCTGAAGTTGACTGCAAAATTGACTGGATTGCAAGTTGGTATGGTTCCGGTCTTAGAATTTTGCATGATGATTGGGAGCAAATCATTGAACATGGTGGTCTTTTGATGGAAGGCTAATTGTAAAACAATATCTGTGCATGCATGGTTTCTTAGTGAGACTGAGAACTTCTTGAATGACCGAAGAATGAATTGTATGGCGAAGGTGTGAGAATATTATTTATAAGTTTTTCAACTGGGCAAGAACTTCTTAAATTGTTCCACCACTGAATCCAATGAGTCTTTGTTCATTTCTTTGAAAGTTGAATATCGCATAGGGTAAGCACCTCAGATTTTGTCACTTACGCCCCAGTTTTTGGCAACGCTGATCTGATTACCATAGGAAGTGGACACCCTGTGTGCACACCGGGAAACGTTAGTAATGAGTCCTCGTACGGGAAAATGTTGATAGAATGCTTGAAAACGTCCAGATTAACTAAGCTGGATTTAAGCCTGAATGGTCAACAACTGGAGACCAGCCAGAAACAGGAGTGTTTACCTGGTGTTGCTTGGTAATTTCCAGATCATTGCAATAATTTTAAATCTTCTTTGAGTTGAGGTATTTCTGGATTCTGTGTAGGTCTAACAGCGACAAAATCAGAATGAAAATGTTTAACGTTTAATGCAATGCATTTATATGCAATACATTTCAGGGATGAACTCCATATGTCTCCGTTCTTTCTCAGCACCAGTTCTAGTTAATGAGTGGAATCACCTTAACCTTCTTTTCTGTTTAAAGAGGGAATAACATGGACACCTTTTGAAGATAAAATAATGTATGATGACTACCTCGTTACATTACCTTCATATAAGGTCGATATAGATGCACTCCTCAGGCATGGTAAGGTTACCGTCCACACAGCAGGGGAGCAGTGTGGCAACAAGAAACGGTGAAGTTACTAGTCCAAAAACACCACCCCCAGGGCATGGTTACATGACCAAACTGCATGTTAATATAACTAGGATTTGAGGGTGGTTTTTGAACTGGTAACTTCACCATTTTTTTCTTGTTTCCTTGCCGTACACGAGCTGTGTGTGTAGAGGTGAATGGATCGCAATTTCAGCAATTGCTATAAATTTATTGTAGATCTGATCATGAATTCCAGTTTTAAATGAAGTATTTTGTTACCTTTAATATGTTTTCGTTGTATTTGATCACTACAAATGAACACGTTTTTCTGACTTATCTTTCTGCATAAGACTGGTTATTTCTCCACTGCAGTTTCTTTTTAAGCACCTTGTATATTGTGAATGTCTTTTTAGTTTGCACATTGTGATTGTCCGCGCAGCGCTACTGATGTTGGAAATCACGTGACGGAGGATTAAAACTTTTTGGCATCCTTTGAAGTAGGTATCGCATATTAAAAGTACTCCCTGCAAATGTTACAGCTCCTAAGAGGATAGAGTCCTACTGATACTTCTGTGGAAGATCTACAGGGAGATTGACTCCTATGAGGCTAGATAATACATAATAGCATTCGTCTCAAATTTAATGCCCCTTCAGCAGACCCTTTCATAGCACATTGAAAAAATTCGTAGAAGCTATATTTAATTCACAAATAAGATTCACTGTTGCCAGTCACCATCAAAGACATCCGTCTTCCCATGAGAAGCGCAAGAATGGTGTATTGCAAATGAAAGTGCCTCAGGCCTAGAACCCTTCTTATGTGTATTCACTCCAGGAGACGGCTCCAAAGATTTTATTGCTCATGAAAATTAAGGAGTAAATTGAACTTCTGACCCATGATGTCCCCAAATATCCGTTCGAGCGATGGCAGATATTCCAGAAACGACGTCATTGAAGAGAGGTCTGCTTCTTCCCACATTTACTAACCTATTCTCAACAGGCAGGAGCTCACTCATAATCGAGATCACAATTATTCACCCGAGGTCATCGCGTCACACTGCCCAAACTACCCAGAGCACCAGAGCCACGCAAGTGACGGAAAACTTGTAACAAGGTCCATTAAACGAGGAAGAGGAAGCCTCAAGCCGGTCCGCCTGGGCGGTTGGGGATACGACGGCATCTTCTCTCCTGGGAGGTTCCGACCTCTGGAAATCATCCTCCTTGTCCTTGGTGTTGCCACCACTGAACTGCTCGTGGTACGTACGATAGTCTTCTGCGCCTGCAGCTGCCACGTAGGTATGGTGACGTCCTGGTGGTTGCAACCCATGGTTTGGCCTGTTTACCGTCGGCGGAAGAAGTTCCACTGGCGGGGATTCCGAATCTTCATCCTCTGGCGGGGTCATAAAGTACACGTCGGTCACATGCCGGATCTCCACTTTGTTGTTCAGCGTCTTCTTTGAACCCGGATTCAGTTTTTTGGCTAGCTTCTTCAGCTTCTGGAACTGAAATAAGTAACACGTTCTCTCAGATACGACTCTAACAATATGACATGCGCTTCCATTATTGCTAAATTTTTAGGAATGCATAATCAGATATGCTGTCTAGACTTGTATGACAGATCATCCACAAGCTTCAGTCAGCAACCTAGGTAAATTTCAGCAAGTTTTAACCTATGTTGCCGTTTTAGTTGGACAGCATGCAGGAACCTTTACCCCCCCCCCCCCCACTCATAGCTTAAAGTGTATTCGCAATCGCATATTGTCATTCAGTGCAGCAAATATTGTCCAGCTTTCTTTACCGGAAGGGATCGACTGGGAGAGTCATAAAAAGTTGAATAAAACTCCGGCACTGCTTGCTATTATTGAAAAACCTACTGGACTGTTGAATCTTCGTTTTCACGTTTTTCATACTCCCTGTATTCGTAGGTGACTAGCTGCAATATCGAGCTAGGTGCTGTGTCTCATCAGAGCCAATTGCGAGCAGATGATGTTTCTTGTATGGACGATGACATAAAAAAACACCTCGATCTGACAAGTCGTTGCGTGAACATAATGTAAAACATGAACTAGCGTGTTCAAAAATAAATAGGACAATTGTGGATGAAAATTTTTCTATCGCTTTGATATAACTCTACAAATAAAAAGCCGCTCTCATCGAACTTGAATTAATTCATTCTCTCTTTCAGCAATTTCTCTTCGTCCTCTACCGCAATGACTGAAAACTTGGAGTCTTTAGAAAGCTACGTAAATAGGGTTTACCCTCGGTGCGCAATTACTCTTCACTTTGGCATGGGTGTAAGACCATTCAAACCAAAAAAGAGGAATATATCAGCTCGAATATGCCGAGGAACGTCTGAGTGTCAAGAGAATACATATGTCGAGAAATGGCCCATTTTGTAGAGCTGTCGATAATCCTTTCAGACTCCCAAAAAGAGCAGATAAACCAAAATTTAAGACCGTTCATAACATTTTCGGGCCTTCAAGAACATTTCTTGCGCGTTCATGAGTAGCCTCGGAATCATCTCGCCTGATCCCCTCATATCAAACAAGAAGTAACCATTTTTGAAGTTGAGCCTCTGACCTCTTATCAGCATCACGCATGCATATAGGCATATCTGCATGTTATCGTGAGAAAGCATGTACGCACACGGTCACGAGGCAATGAGGGTGGTTTTTGGACTGGTAACTTCACCGTCATCTTACCCTGTTTTCTTACTTTCAAAACGTGTCCGTGTGGCTTCGTCTCTCCTCTGTGCTGCAGCGATGGCCCATTCACGAAGTCACACAGACACATATTGTGGGTAAAATAAGCAAGTAAGGTGACGGTGAAGTTACCAGTCCAAAAACCACCCTCATTGCCTTACATTACCTTTCGAGGCCGTGTGTGTAAATTCACTTATCTGACGCGCGCTACGAACGTAATATTTTTGCAATAGACCGACAGATCAAGACAGTATGCATTAACCTATGAGAAAAAGAATCCTTGCGCTTAAGAGTGCTCCGAATAGCTGTAAAACAGGAAGTGCGAAACCTTACCCTGCTGCAATAGCAAAGTAGAAATCCAACTGAATTTCAGAAAGGGAAGGACATCGATGAACATGTTTCCCGCCGAAATATCTGCCCAAAAGCATCATCCACCATTAAATCAAGTCCCATCCTCGTCTTTTTTTTTCATTATTTTTGCAGCGCTTAAGGCATCTAATAACCGTGAAGCTATATCGCCCCGTTAACCTTCTAATCCTAAATGTTCCTATGCAAAAAAAAATCCTTTCTTCATCCCATCAAGCGAGCAGCCTCGATTAAATACGAAAAATTGCCGAATTTTCAACCTTTCGTGCGGTTCGCCTGCGTCGAGTCGCAAAGTACACTCTCAACGAATGACCTTGCGGAACTTGAAATTCGAACCTGTTTTGAGGAAATGTGAAGGAGCTCGGGGAAGACGGTCCAAGCCACGTGCCGATTGCAATGATCTTCATCCCTGCTGTTATCCTCATACCGGAGAAAGCTGCTCGTGTCCCGGGGCAGCAATTTCCCCACCGTCATCTTCACCGTCGAAGCACTCTTATCCAACGAATCCAAGAGGTAGTCCAAAGCCGAGCTCTCCTTTGGCGACTCCTGCAACAAAGATATGAGTTATCTTCTTGAAGACGCGGCAATTAATTTATCTTCTCTAGGCGAATAAAACCTACACAAATCTCTATCCCTCTGAAAGTAGGTCAATGTAAAGAGTGAAGCGAAATTAAATTGCCCATATTATGTATTTGCTTCGAAGGTTGTGAAGAGGATGACGTGCTCGTGCAATGGAAACCCATTGCGTTCAATAGAAAGTTGGTTTCTTTGGAAACAAGCAACAACAAACAACAATGAAAACAAACTTTGGTAGTTCGCCCATCTTCTGCATTTCAAGCCTTCTCATTCGTGAATACATTGGCACGCGAAAATCGATATGTTCACAAGTCCATCCTAGAAATTTGCCTCTCCCTTACCCTGAGTTTTTGTTGAAATCGAATGTCCATGTTGTGAAAGCCTAATGAAGCCAAAGGAAGGCAAGCTTCTACTCATTCTTCGATTCTTGACTTTGACCTTACCCACCGGAAAAGGTACACTTGCGATTGCGTTGCGAGTGAGCGCTAATCCCATCCACCGCATGTGCGATCTCATTCAGCTACCATAAGTCAGAATGGCCTTAACTAATTCGTAAAAGTGACACCCTCAATACTTAAACGTGAGACTAAAACCGAGCGAAGGGTGATTATAGAAATATATAGGGGATAGAGAGGATCTGAAGGGCGACTCGAGTGGAGGAAAAGGATGTCGCACCATTTACATTTCTGTATGGGAGATGAATTAAGTTTTTTTTAAACCAGTTCCTCCCCTAGCCATGATCAGAGGAAGCAATTTCCGTTTCCGTGATTTTCAATGGGTTGGTGTGCTGGAGACATGAAAGTTAGAGAAATTTTAATGACCCAACCAGACGCATTCCAATTTTACAGGAAAAGAGGGAGGAAGACTTCTTTTTTCTGTTCCAGTCATTCCTGCACGGCTACGCACCTCCAGTAGGAAGAGAATAGGGAGCATCGATTCCACTGATTTTGGTGCGAGGCGAGTGCGTCCCAGTTGAGCACCAATCTGCCCATAGCTGATCAGTTGCAATATCTAGTAAATGTGTGCCCTGATTGAATAATAAACTTTTTCCCACAATGACACACCTACCCTTTCCATCTGACATTTTCTCGAGTGTCGTCCTTTTACCCTCGAGTGAAATATGAGCTTGGAGGCGTTGCCTCAAAGTCCAATCGAGGACTCATAACCGCCACAAGGGGTACCGGTCCCTAAATTGCACTACTGTGCACGTCAAAGGTTGCGTTCTCCCTCAGGCAGCACACCACATCAAGCCCACGTTGGCTGAGAGTGGGAGAGCGTGGTTAAACATTCCTTGTGGACTACGCCCACTTCGGGCCTACGCGGCAGCCAACATATGCTCAATCTGCGAGCGGGTCATCTATCTCAGCTATTCGAACAAATAAGGTTCCCACACAAATGAAAAGAGATGGCACATAAATAACCGCTGTTTCAATCGTATCAGGGAGTGACTCGCTACAAGTGCCTTGTACTTTTCATGTGGTACCTAATCTTTTCCCGGAGACTACGTAGAAGAAAACACTCCAATTCTGTAATGCATTTGTTTAAACAGGTTAAATAGCTCAGTGAGACTCCAGGCAATCGTGGAGGAAAAGTGGTCATAGGGCCCTACCTCGATGCGGTGAGGAAAACCGACAAAGGGGTGAGGGAAGTATACATATCGATTGAGGCGAATGCATCTAGCTCCCCTTCGCGAGAGAAGATCCGGGTCCAATAAGAGAGTTCACTAAAGGGAGCTTTACATGACAAGCAAATCCAGAGCGGGAAACGATCCAGTTTTTTTTATGGGTTCTCATCCCATAGAGAAGATGAGTGCCTCAGGAGGAATCACTCGAGGGGAGTAGTACTCGCTGGAGTACTCCCAGATAGAACGAGAGACTGCAGCAAGGATCCCGATAGGGGAGGAGAAATCGTGAACAAATAGAGAAGCTTACTCGTGGCCTCTCCTAAGTGCCTGAGGGTCATGCCGCGCGTCAACGTTTAGTGTTGGCACAACTTGGGCTTCCAACATCGGTTCAATGCGGGGCCAACGATGGGGCCACATCGCACGTAGTCTCTACGTTTGCCAAAAGTGGATGTGCTCTCTGGGCCCATGCGTAAAAGACATGTCAGAGCCGATGGGATAAGTAAATCCGCTTGGTGATGCTCTAAACAGGAATACGCGAACGGATTTAGTCCATTGAGTGTCTGATATAGGGGGTTTATGAAGTCCTTGTGCAACTTTAAAATTTAATAACTTTGGATGTACACATGATAGAAGCAAACAAACAACAGCTCATGAAAGCATAATTATTAAAGTCCATGGCGCGTCCATAGCTCGTTTCTAACAGGATTACGACTTACTTCTGCATACTGCAGTAGCATGGAACTCCTTCATCCTCAGAGATAATGTCTCTTCATGAGATCGCTGATAATATCGTATTTCCTATGTGATTCGGGAAACGATCCACATGATGATACTAAGAGTAGAACAAAGTTTCTCGCCTTTCATTTGAGTTTTGCAATCTCGAGCGACCTATTTTTTTCCAAGAACGAGATATTGCCGCAACGTAATTATATATTTTGCTATTGTCACGCTAAAGCCTTTGTTACGTCTCACTGGGAATCTCATTCCAATTGTCTGCCTTTCAAGATATCGCGAGATAATAGGAGAAATTACGTATATCACTTCATAGTGCATGAATGAGTTGTGCTGGAAATGGTGTCGATGGAGATCAGCCTCGGTGCAAAAACCTTTTCCACCCAGCCACTCTCTCGCCACCTAGCGATCGCCTTCATTTAAATACCAATTCCCAAGTTCGCAACGAAACGAGACCTGGAGGAAGACGGTGAGGACGGCAGCCTCGTGCGAGGGCGGAGAGTCCTGCCGGGCGTCCCGAGGTTCGCGGGGCACCTTCCAGTGGATCAGGTCAATCTCCGCCGGGTAACTGGAAAGACAGCGAGGGAGATTAGCATGCGAAATTAATTGCTCAAATTATATAGTCAAGTGCGTGATGCAGCAAAAGTGATGATAACATAATTTTATAATGAAGACGACGGCGGAAGCCGTCTGAATGAGAAAGCAAATATGCGGGTATTAACCGCATTCTTCATCTTCTGCGTCTTCGTTATTATCGTGACCCCCATCTTGCGAGACGAATGACAAATTGCGTACTAGTACCCTCTAAGAGGAAGCGGCGTCGATAACAGAGATCAGTCGATGATGACAATTCACACGACTCCTGACACGGGGGACGATTAGCAGCCATCCCGAGCTTACTGGTTACGAGGGGAGTTGGGGTGAGAGACCCACTTTCACCGCCGAGGACGAAGAGAAGGGAGCGGAGATCATGACATACTCGAAATGACCCAAATCTCACATATCTTTCTCTCGCCATTGAACCGAATCGAGAGGTAGGGATCCTCTCGGTAGGTTCGAAAACGGGACGCCGTCGTGCATGCCATTCCAAAATATCCTTTGGAAAATTGCCGGGAATGCATATCTTTAAATAGGGTACGGTCCTGCCATGTAACTGTCTTTTGTGGCGTTGAAGGTCGAGCGATTCACTCTTTTTAATGAGAGGGAGTTTTGTGCAGTGTGATTCATCAGTCCTACTTGAAGGTCTACGAAGACATACTTTTTGTTCCGATGTGGAAAGACCTTGGGAGAGTAAAGCCAATCCCTATCGCTATAAATTTTCTTTACGAGTATTACCTCCCCCGTTACTTTGCCCGCCTCAGCTGGTTCGTCACTTTCTCTTCCTTCCATCGCTTGCTACCCAGCTCTGCTGTGACGGAAAGTTGATTACATGTAGAAAGCCGGACATTGACGACTCGGTTGGAAATTACCGGACAGTAACTTCATCATCGCGTCTCGGGGCGCGAAGCAATCTGGACGAAAAGTAGACTAAAAAATTCCTCGTGAGATTCATCCAAAACGGAAAAAGAAGCACCACACGGACCCACAACCACGGCCCTTTATGGAGTTCTCATCTTCTCGATACAATATTGATGAGGGCCGAGGTCACATAAAGAGTTAGACCAGCGGAAGAGGATGAGACTGGAATGATATTTGTCTGCGAAGGGGGTTCAATGGCCATGCTTATCGCGATGACCTCCAGAGGGATCCCCATTCACTTTCTACAGACGTTCGTTCCTTCTTTATGTTCCGTTCCGAAGACAAGGAAGAGACCATTGACTGAGTTCGAATCGCCAAGAGAAATTTCTTCGGCTGGTCTCGGCCGTTTCATCCATACTTCGCATTTATCCAAGCCATGTATATCATACCTTCCGCATTGAAAATTTAAAAAAAATGTAAACACGAAGGCGTGGACATACCCTTGTCCATCGATTAGATGTTTCGTTGCTCCTCTGAGTTTATCCCCTAGTCGAAGTCGAACCTCCCTCAGGATGTATTCTCCGTAGAGATCTCCTCCATCCACGATCGGTCCGTTCCAATCCCTCATGACCAGACGAACTGAAAAAGTCAACACGAACACGAATAGGAATGCATACAAGAGGGAGCAGAGACGCAGCAGTGAATATTCAATATTAATTTATTGCTTTACCATTTAGAAATTAAAAGGGTAACTGCATCGATGCGTGAATGGAATGACCAGGCGCTAAGCGCACGATAAAAATAAGAATCCGAACTTAGACGCGAAATAACAGCAGTATTATTCTTGCGAACATGGCCAAGCATCCAAACCGGAATTGCTTGCAACTCTAGAGCTTTGTAATGGGGACTTGAGGTCTTCATCCTGCTTTTATCCATTCCGTCTTCCTTTACAAATGACATGTTTAAAGAAAACACGTAGCTCGGGAAAGTAAAGAAGCATTCATTTCGAGGAAAACCCATGAGCAAAAATTCAGAGACCGCTCAAAGTCTGCCACGTAAAGGTCCCTGCTTCCAACAACTCAAACGGAGTTATCGAGAGAGAAGAACTTTTCTAGTCATCCCCAATAAATTTGTAAGTATTGGCTAAGATCCTACGTGCTAATTCATTACACCCAAATGAAGGCATCTATGAGAAATAATATCAGTCTTGTTCTCTCTATTCTTCCGAAATTACGCTGCTCCCTACGATATACATTCAGTTTAACAATCATCACAAAACTTATTTGACTAAAAAAAAATGCAATGGCAATGATAGTATTAATAACCGCCTTTGTTTTTTTCCCAAGCTCCTACTAAGCATGGAATAAAATACTGACGGAAGGGATGAATCTAGACAGATAAAATAATGAACTCCTCCCATCATAATTGTCGTGTTCCGCGTCCCATCTTTCATCATTCCTGCATCCTCGAGGCTGCTTACCAGTAATTTGTACTCTCGTTCGCATCGCGAACGATTGCAGTCGCTCGAGGTTTCGACCCGGAAGGATCCCGCAACACCTTCCCCCTTCCACCTTCCCCCCCCCCCCCCCCCTTCCCCCCGCCCTCGTCTGGCTGTTCTACTGCAGAAACTCATTGTCTCCTTTCCGCTTTCGATGGGCGAGGTGCTTCATCCTCGAGGTTAGATACGCTGCCTTTTACGTCTCGTGTCGGGATTTCTAGCCATCGTTCGATAGCCATTCATCGGATCGGAAATTCCAGCTTTCAAAAAGTTTCAGTAAGGAAAGACCGCTAGCAAAAAACACGCAGAAAACGTTGGAAGTGGTGCAGCCGGTTGCAGGAAAAGAACGATGCGAAGGAAGCTGCTCGATGTTGCAATGGCACTCGAAGAGAATCGGCCCGAGGACTCCTGGAACGAAGATGCTGCAATGCCGTCTACTTCAGGTTTCTCTCAGAAGCACCTCGGACCGCCGGCCACGCAAGGTCGTCCGTGTCGACACGCGAGGAGGAAAGACGATGCCTCTCGACGTCGCATTTTATTATTTCCTTCGAGTTGCAGCAATCCGCCGTCCGATCGTCTTCCGAGTCGGACGGCCGGTCGAAACGCGTGACCGTCTCGATTCGAGAGAGGATGGGGTCATATTAGAATGATCTCGATACAAAAATTTCGTAAGTCGTGTCGGCTGCGCCGTAAACAGGAAAATTCATCTACTCCCGTGTATTTTCATGAAGGCATTCCATAGTAATGAGGCAAATTATTTTGAAGAGATTCTTTGGAAATGGAGATACGAAACCAAGAGTTAAACTAATGGCCATCTGGGTTCTGGCAGTTCCAAGGTTATCATTTTAATTCCCCTTACACTACGTAAATGGATAACTGCTTAATCTCAGATAATGGAGACTTGCCCAACAGAGAAACTTGTGAGATCCGTGATTACGTGAATGTTGCAACGGCGGCAAGAGTAAAATTCGAATCACGGTTTGCTGACAGTCTTGCTGATCCCCTCTTAGCATTTAGGCTTCACGCGTCAATTCTTTGTCAAATTGCGCGCAACGTAGAGCGTTGGCGTGATCGGATTCACACGCAACCGTAATTGCATGTTATTGCCTGGTGTCGACGGAGCCGATGGGAAGGGGCTGCCTCTCTCTCCACGCACGGGCGAAGACACGAAACCCTCGATCGAGGAGGACGAAAAGAAATTTCTCACCGGTCTGGTCGGCGTACACGACCTGAAACTTCGGAGACTCGGAGTGCAGATTCGACAGGTTCAAGGGCTGATAATGAGAAAAGACGGGCGCATTGTCGGCCTCGATGCTCGCCACCGCCGGCTCCACGTCCACCTCCAGGCACTCTTCCGACTCGTCCCCCTCTAGAGAAGGCGGAAACGACGGAAACGGCGAAAACATTGAATTCCCTTGCGAATTTCGCTCGTGCGAATCGGGAAAAGAAGTCTCTGGACTCGCCTGTAGCTTTCACCGCGACGCAGTAGAGGAGGAAAAGGGTGAAGGCAGAGCTGAGCACCACCATCCTTGAAGGCGAAATGCCAACATGCACTTCGCACCGAGATCTGTTCGACGCGAGATGGCACCAGATGCCTCGAAGGACGCAGGACGTCGACCGTGACCTCGATCGGCAGGAGCACAACGAGGGTACTGACGTGCTTTTAATACGCTTTTCTTTCTACTGAGTAACTTTTAAACGAAAGAACGAATGAAAACACATTTTACTTCTGGTTAGTGAATGCAAGAAGAAAAACAATATACCATGTTAAAGGCCTAACCGTATGACGAGAGCATCCCCGAGGAGGACGCCCCAGGTCTCAATTCCCACGGGTTCTCATAAACTAGAATTTGAAAACTCTAGACCTAAATGCGGAGTGACGACCTCGTGCGACCGGGACCGACGACACGAGTGCGTTTATTCTCGTTCGGACTGGGAAACGCGTAGGCTTCTTACGTCGAGATTTAGTTCTCGTGACCTCGATGGAGGTCACTCGTCTCGAGCCGTGGCACGAGTGAAAGTGTGCTCTGCGCTTTTCACGGTTCCCTCCCACGTCCCATTCCTCGGAGAAGAAGAAGCGTGCACGGTCGTGAGCAACTTGTAGCCCTCGTTTCAGACCAGAATATCTTATAGCTAACCGCGTTTCGAATTCCGCGAAAGGATTCTCACGGGAGAATACGAGTAACGTGTCGTAACGTGTCGTTCGTCGACATCGTGTGGCGATTTGGAGCATCCCGTTTTTAGTACCGACTCCGTACCATAAACACTTTTAAAGTACTTTCGATACTTTTCTTTTATAGCTTCCAGAACTACTAAGTACCGGACCGTCGCGTGAGACTTTTCTCATCTCAGACCTGAGAGAATTGTCAGAGGCCCCAAAGTCGACAAAGTTTTACCGCAAGGATCCAGTACTTCCCGAATCCTCAAAGTACTCGGTCGGTTTTTTTCGGTACGGAATACCCGATCCACCTCGACGCAGATGCCCCACGAAGACGCGACCGCGGCGCATCGACGAGCACGCGTCGATGGACGTTCGATCCCGCGACGAAGCGAAAGGCGTCCCGCGAGACCGGATCGATTAACGATAGGAATGCGAATTCCTCGCTTCGATCCAGTCGGTAGAGCCACTATATTAACGTCGGTATGCAGACGATCCAGCCGGATGGATGCGGGGGATCCCCGGCGAGATCGAGCCCCTGGCCCCTGGCCCCCAGCCCCTTTCCCCTTGCCCCTTGCCCCTTATCCCTAACCTCTGCAACGAGGCGGAGGGAGGCACGAGGATTCGATGGCATCGCTCCACGGTGGATCGGAACGCAGAAGAACTCGGATACGTTTTTCGAAAGAGAGTCTCCGAAGTGAACGTTTTCTCCTTACTGACGGCTGCCCTCGACGAAATCGACGCGAAAGGAAATGATGGAGCCTAAAAACGAGGAAGAACGGACGGACGTTCCTTCCTCTCGGACACGGCCCAGACGCTGCGAAACGCATCGGTCGCGCGGGTGAGCCGGTGGAATTCCACTGGGAAACGTTCCGCATGTGCCGTACGTTTCGCGTCCTTAATTTTTTCAGGTCGGCCGATGGAAAAATTCCCTCACAAAATCCACGGATCGACGTCCGATCGCGATTCGATTCGCCGAAGCCTCGAAAGGTGCCCTCGCGTGCCGCAGGCATACGCGACGCCGAAGGGTTCCGATTCGCGAGAAGATCGTCCGAGGGAAAATCGGGAAGATCCGGTCGAGTCGACGTCTCCGTCGAACGGTCCGAGATCGTCGCGAGGAATCCCGGAGACGGCGACGCTCGCGGACGACACCCGAAGATTCCGCACGAGCCGGCCCGGAATCGCGACGGAACTCCTTTGCGATTCCGTCGCGCGTTTCCGTCCCATCCGGCCGGAAACGCGAGCCGGGTGGAGTCTAAAGTGGGGTTCGCACGGTCGAGATCCTTCCCGATGTCCACCGGAGGCGTTACGTTTTTTCTCGGGTTTTCCCACGCGAGTTCCATCTGGAGAACGTCGAGCTTCATTTTCTCCTCGTCGGGAAGGGAGCAAGGAACCTTTAACGAGGAACCTCTTGCCCCAACCGGGGCTCTCTCGGCGACGCGCATGCGACGCTCGTCGTTCGTCGCGACTGCAGGAGCACCGCGTTAGAGACGTCCTCGCTCGCGGGACTCCTTCGAGACCGTCGGAACGATGCACAAGGTATCGGTTTCGGTACGACGAGGCGAACCGCCCGACGGATCGACGGTCGTCGGTTCGAGTCGGGGGCGTCCCTTAGAGTCCAGAAACCGGTGAAAAACGAGCTTCTCCTTCGCGATCGTAAATTCCACGCCTCGCTCCGTTCGGCGTGAGGAAAAAATGTCGGTTTTTAATACGTCGTCGTTGCCGTTCGAGGAGCCCTCTCTTTGAGGAGCCCTCTCGCGACTCCCGCATTCCTCTCTCGGATGTCGCTTTCGTCGGGAAGCTCTCCCTCTCTCTCTCTCTCTCGTTCGACGCTCCGTCGCCCCTGCGATCCTCGATGCGCGCGAAGGAACGAATCGCTCTCGGATGACGGCCCCGGTGACGGACGGCAGACGCGAGATCACCGTGCGACGCCCGGCGTGATGACGCTGCGACTCTCTCGCTCGCACCTCGAGAACGACGCGCTCTTGCACGGGGCTCGACGCCGCACGAGAGACGGGGACCGGTCCCGAGAGCCCACCGCGCTCCCTTCTCGTCTTCGCGACGGATTCCGTCGAGAGTCGCGCGATCCCGCGGCGACTCTCTCGGATCCGCAGCGGCCGTCCCGGATCCCGTTCCTTCGAAGAGCGGACGCGGCGGACGGAAGGAATCGCGGCATCGGACTACCGAAGAGACGACCCGAAGATTCGCCACGCGAAGCAGAATCGACCCGAGTCCTCGCCTTCACGCGCGTTACGTCCGATTCCGATCGGGTCCGATTCCATCCTCTCCTCTCGAAAGCCATCGCCGTGGAACGCACGGACTCGGCCGTCACCGGCTGGTGAAACGACGCGTACGTGACGGCACGTCATCCTCGGCTCTTCGAGCCACGGTTCGGTGAGTAACGTCACGATACGCTTCGCAGAGAGCGCAACGAGGCCGCGATCGTTTACGTCATGCCGAGTGCGATGCTCGCATCGCCGACGATCTTTCGAGTGACGGCGATCACGTTTCCATGAATCCGCAACGACTCTCGAAACGGAATGGCGTTCGTGACGATGGCGTCCTTGCCGCAAGGAAACCCAGATCCACTTTCGTCGATCCGAAAATTAACGGCGAAAAACAAGGAGGAACCGGACGGCGATTTCCCCCGACGGAAAGCGAGGACAAGAGAAAAAAAAAATGAAGCGAGTCCTCGAAGAGCGATCCTTTTCGGTTTCGGAGTACTCGGAATGGTTCGTCTCTCGGCCGGAGGCGATCGAAGATCCGACGACGACTTTCGCGCTCGCGTCGGTCGACCGGGTTCGCACGAGATCGCTTTCGCCGCGGAGACGGACGCGAGAGACGATCCCTCGGGTGCCGCGACGTCTTCGCGTCGCCGTTTCTTTCCGTCGTCGGTCGTTTGGGATTCGCTCCGGATCGCATCGCGGATTCGTTCCCGGCGGATCGACCCGCGAAACGCCTGCACGGCGGCACGGGATCCACCGAGACGCCGTCGAGAGACGGTTCCCACGATGGCGAACGGCAGCCGCGACTCGAGACCGAAAGCGCGAAGAACCCTTGCTCGATCGGCTCCGAAACGCCGAAAATCCCGGAACTCGCAGGTCTTCGGCCCTCGGAGACGCCAGGACGTTCTCCCTCGGATGACCGAACCGCTTCCGATTCCGCTTCGAAACCGACTCCATGCTGGCGTCACGAGGAGAGCGATCTCGAGGCTAAATCTTCGGATGGAGTCCGGCGAAGAGAGAGGAGATTCCTTTCCGGGTCCGGACGAGCGAGGTCGCGCGAAACCGTCGCCGGGGAAGGGGAAGAGAGCCGGTTCCGCGTCGCGACGGATCGGAAGATCGTCCGAGTCCGGAAAATTCGTCTTCGAGGAGACGATCCCGGCCGCGATCCCGACCGGACCGAAAAGGGACCGAAAAGGGACCGAATCGCGTCGCGGTCTCCGGCCGGGAAGGCGAGTTCGGAGTTTCGGGCACGCGAACCGTCCGTCGCACGTTTGCCGGACCGCGACGTCGTCGAGGCGTTCTCGGATGTTCGCTACTCCCGATCCGAAACCTCGCTCGTCGCCCGTCGATCAACGACGGGACTTCGGGAACGGGACACGGCGGAGAAACCACTTTCGATACGAAACGAGAGCATCGATGCGCCGTCGTTCGCGGTTCCGTTCGCGGTCGGATCGTCTCTCTCGTTCCCTCGTCGCCGACGGGGGGAGGTTCCCGAGCGCGCGACCGCGTCGGCGTTCCGGGTCGTCTCGTCGAGGACCGACGCGACGAGAAGTACGCGAGGACCGACGCGACGAACGGATCCGGACGCCCTCGACGTTCGCGACGGAACGAAGCGGACTCTTCGACGGCGACCGAGGCACAGTAGGAATCTCGACGCGTCGCACTCGCGCAACGGAGGATTCGACTCCCCGTGCGTCGACTCGGCGGAGGAGGAACACGCGGACGAGATGCGGGGAGGTATCCCACCGGACCCCACCGGAGCCCACCGGACCCCACCCGTCCACGGAAGGCGAAGAAACGACGGAACGAGGAAAGAAAACGGGGGATCTCGGACTCGCACACTCGTACGCGATGCGTGGCACCGTCGAACACCAAGTGAGGAAGCACACACGTCCGAGCACGGTCTCTCCTTCACTCTCGCTCTCGCTCCCTCGCGCTCCCTCGCGCTCCCTCGCACGAGGACGTGTTGCCCTCTGGGCACGTTCTGCGTCGACCCCGGCTTTTCCTTTTCGTCCTCTCGCCA